CCAGGGAAGGGGTCGAGTCCCCAGCCCTGGGGGGATTTAAAAGCTGGGCAGATGAGGTGCTTGGGGACAGGGGTTAGTGGTGGACAGGTACGGTTGGACTCGATGATCTTAAAAGTCTTTCCCAACCAAACGATTCTATGATCCTTTTTGGAAACAAGAGGCAAAATGGTTTGGAAACTGCTGGAATCCTCTGGCTTCCCCATTCTCCCCTGTCATTCCCACCTTCCACCCCTCCATTTTAATTGATGAATCAGCAAAAAAGGACTCAGAAGTTGATGTTGCAAAAAATACAACTTCAATAACTTCACAAGCAGCCATGCATGGGGCAAACTTACTCAGCAGGACAATGTACAAAATAAATCACACAGAGATACCTAAAAATCTGCCTCCGTTTGTGAGAACTAGAAGAAAAGCCTTCTTTGGAGATTCTGTCGGTTAACATCAGAAAAAAGCATCATTATAGAGTCATGCAGTCCTCTGCAGAGAAAGCCAGAGGGGCAAATAGTGTCTGCTAAGCAGTACTAACCTGCTGTCAGTGAGATATCCATTCTGGCCGGTCTGGAAGCACGGAGAAGACATGGAGAGGGGAAGGAAAGAAAAGGGAGGCTTAGTAACTTTGAAAGCAACAAACCCAGGCAATCTCAAAGCAAAGAGGAGCAAAGCACCAACAGGATGGGACTCGGTTTGTGTTGTGCACCAGTTACACGGTCACTCAGGAGTCTTCCGCATACCCGTCCCATCTGGCTCTCGACCCAGGCCCCTTAGGAACCTTTCCTGATACCTGCAACCCTGAGATCTCTCAAGAGTTTGCAAATCCGAGTCCTCAACTCCCTACCTCCTTGCTCTAAGGCAGCTTGGATGGTAGCTTTGTCAATGCAACCAGCAAGACCAGACATACAAGGGTCCTTGTTTGCCAACTGCAGGCAAAATCATCAGAGCCACGAAAAGAGGCAGAGGGCTCAAAGCCAGCCCAGCCCACCCTGTGATAGTCACCCCTGCCTCTGGAAGTCAAGGTGCAAAGCACTGCCTGAGCCCATGGACACAGAACGAGGGGCAGCACATGCTCGCCCCGTGCAGCGCTACCATGGGGCAGCACCCGCTCCAGCCCAGGGCTACAGGCAGAGCTGCTTACCAACATGGCTGGGTAGCTTTGGGCCAGTGCCTGTAAGACAAGGCCATGACCACAACTGGCTGGAGAGTCATCAGCTGAAGCCCGGTCACTTGACTAGGGACTCAGCACAGTGGCTGCCTTAACGTCCTCCTTGGGCAGGCACACGGCAATTCCCATGAGGGCAAAGGAAAGGCATCGTCCCCTAGACACTCAAAAGCAGGAGGCAAGGAGATGGGCTTTGAACATGATCCACGGCAGATGGGCACTTGGAATTGTCCCTGGTTCCATCATTTGCCACTTGGCACAGCATGGAGAGCTGCCTCCAGCTGGCAGACAGTACTCAACGCAGCAGCCTCTCCGAGCCAGACGTGAGCAAGGAACCCAGCTTTGGCTTAGAGGAGTTCCACGTAGGGATCAGACATCTCAAAGGGAGCAATAACCAAGCTGGACACTTCCTAAGGAAGACAGTAAACGTACTGCCCAGATTAATCCTGAAAAAGGCATGGAGCCCTGCCTGACACTCCAAGGCCAGCACTGCTTGGTCAGGAGGTCGAAGCTGCAGCACGGGGGAGAAGCTGGGGGAGAGAGCTGCTGCTCCTTTCAGGTTCATCAACCGATTTGCTGATCATCCCAGAAATGCCACTGCATAAGCTGCCTCCTCTATCAGTCCCCACATGTCTGCTGCCCCCTGAAACAGGCAATTTAGGGAAGGAGCAGACAGGGGAGCGGAGGTGTGGCTCCTCTATCTCGGTGCCTCGGTCATCTTTGTTAGGAGCTGGAATTCAATGGTAGATACCAAGAGCACTGGGAAGTTTGCAGAAAAGGCAATGATGAGATCTGACCTCTTAGTACACTCAAGCACACCTTCTGCCACAAAGTTCCAGGAGGGTACCCGGCACGTGAGCCATCCAAGCTTACCTCTCGTGCAAATATCCGCTCCCTGACCCGCTGATACTCTTCCTCTCGCTCTTCTATAGATTTGCTCCTTCTCCCATCCTGCAAGGGGAGTCTGATCTGAAGGGACAAACACATCTCAGCAGGTCAGCAGTTGCCAATGGGAGCAGGGGGTGCAGTCAGCAGCTATTTTTACACAGCAGTGTAAGTGGATGTGGATTACGCAGCGTGTGCGTGATGCCTGGATGCAACGACACAGCCTTTGAACCTCCCTTCTGGACATCCCTATGTCTAGGGATGAACATCCTGGAGGTCTTAATGCACTCCTGGGTCAAGCACAACCACTCTGCCTGAACTCTGCCCGATTCGGAAAGGACAGATCAGGAATATCACCATGTGCTGCTGAAAGACAGTCTGTTCCCAGGGTGCAGAAGCTAACGGCCACCCTTTGTAGCTCATGCCAACACAGCAAACTCCTGCTCAGTCACCTATTCTGTGCTTCGTGGGTGGCTGCATCGCCTGCAGAGTGCCACCATGGGGAAACCAGGCACGGATACCGACTGCAATGACCAGCTCCCCATCCTGATGACTTAAGTTCAGAAACATGACCCAAAGCAAGGGATAGTGATATGCTGGGGCGGTGTAAAGATGGGAGCTACAAGAGCAAAGAGCATGAGATCCCTGGTGGAGAGGTCTCCTGCCTCCTGCCCCATTTTTGACGTTCAAGGTTCTGTCTGACAGAGGCTGGAAAACCAGCCACAGACGAACAAGCCAGCTCGGCGTTGTGGGTGTGGTGCCCCCTGCGGCAGCCAGAGATTCAGGAGGGGGTTTAGCTCCAATGACCGGCAACGCCGCTGAGCTCAACGTGTTTCGTTTTGCCAATGGTTTCCTTCCCGCGGCGCTGAGAAGGTCCTGATGACTTCACAGCTTGACGCGCTGCAAGCCTCAGGGAGGGGTGGGAGAGGTGCTTGGCAACGTGGCTCTGTGGCATTTCCAAGGAAACTTTAGCAGAAGGCTTCACCATAAAGCCTGGCCCAGCCACCAGTCGATATTCAGGGTACAGAAAGTAACCCCATAGAAGCCACACAAATTTCCACAGTATTTTGTACAGTTTTTATGATATATCTAGACACTGCTGCTCAGGTGGGGTGGAGTGGAAGCTTCTACTTAAGAAGGTTACTGCAGAAAACCCGAGAGAACTTTAGAGTTGTTCTCATCTTAGAAAAGTCGCATTTGACTCTCACTAAGTATGCAGATACCCCACTGCCACCCCTTACCTGATTATCATCTCGGTCCATGCTGGTATCATCTCGTTTTAGGATAAACCTCTGTGGGAAATCTGCATTCTTCTCATCTTTGATGTGCTCAGAGAACCTCTGCTCAGGGCTGCAGGAAGAACCAGCCCTTGTTAGAAGAGCAAAAAGGGGCACAGAACGGTCTCCACAAAACCACTGCTTTGTAGGGAGCGAGGGGGTGTGCAAAGATAAATCTCTCCTCTGTCTGATGGCAACGAGTGCTCCTGCCCCTTCTCTGAGAACTAAAGAGAGCTAGGAAGAGTTTGCAAATACCTACTTAGGGCTGGAAGTGAAGGGGGGACCTGCCCTTCTTATGGGGGCAAAGAAATGTGGTGTGGAATCCACCCTGCTCTGGACCACGCCAGGGTTCTGTGTCTGGGGGCCACGTGGCACCGTGCAGGGAAGGGAAGGGGATGCCAGCCCGGTGGTTCTCCCTCCCTCCCTCCTCCTTACATTCGTGTGTTACTGGTCTTGTTGATAATGACCGCCTTCCCAGTTTGGTCAACGTTATGGTCCATGCCGAAGTAGGCAGCTACCCGGTGCAGCAGCATCCTATGGTATGAGGTCATCTGGGGAAACTTCTTAAACTGATTGCTGAGAAAGAGGGGAGAAAGGATTACAATTTAGAAACAGACAATGCTAATCTGACAGCAAAAGCACGATCGAGGCCAGAGGTGCCTTAACCAGATCCCAGATCAGACCACGCCACCTATTCCAAGCAGTGAGTCAGGACCCCAGCACTGCTTCTTACGCTAAGCATGAGCGCGGGCGTACGCTGCTTTGCCAGAGAGAGTCGGGCTGGTTCGAGGCCTTTCCCGAAACAAGACAAGCTTGTGCAGAAATGCACGCGTTTGTTTGTAGGCAGGAACAGGAGCTGGAGTTAGTGCTTATATTGCAACTTCTCTGATCCTATCGGATAAAGAAGTTTGCGAGCTCTGCTGCTGCAGACACCGATCTGGCATTCCGGGATGTGACTCTTGCCCCTGGCTTCTCCACCCCCAACTTACGCTGGGAAGAGAAGCACAATGGCACTCATCTCCTTCACAGGGGATACGGTGTTAAAGCAACTGATACCAAATCCATAGATACTCAGAAACCTTCTGTGAGGCCAAAAGGAGGTGGAGGATGTAGAAGAGAAGAGGCCTCCTAACCAGCGCGCCCCTTCTCCCCTGGGTGCCCAAGCTCCTAAACCTCTTTTGCTTGACAGAAACTTGATGAGCACTTACTTGTTATCACTGATAAATTCCAGAATCTCCTGTTCTAACTTTAGTAGCATCATTCTATCCCTGTCAAGAAAAAGAAAAAGGAAAAAGCCGCTTTTAGAGACAGCGAAACCCAGCTTTCTCTGCTTGGTACCCCCCTCCCCACAAGAGAGGGAAGTCACAAATACCTGAAGCGAGCAACACTGTTAAGCAGGCTTCACACATCCTCCACAGGAATGAACTAAACATCTCGACATTTTTCATATATAGTAAATGAATTGCCAGATTTTCTTCAGTTTAAGGTTGGTTGTTTTGCTAACAGTGCTCGCCTTTTGGTAATATTGAATCTCTGCTCTGCTGGAAGCTCCACTGGTAGAGACTCCAGCTTTGCTATTCCTACGCCAACATTTGGCTTGATTACATTTATTACTGACACAGCAGCGATTCCTTTAGAGGTTGGTACTCGACGATCATTTACAGAAAGGGCTTTAACGCAATCAAGATTCCTTCCTGCTTGCATTCAAACAAATTATCTTTCCTCTTTCTCTCTCTCCATAATACACAACTACATGTTTTGATTGACTGCAGTATACAAAATTACAGTTCTGCTTTTTGCTTCTGCACTGCCCCAGCTCCAGTAATGCTGAATTCCAAAAAGGAAAACACACTTTCAGGTACTTTCTGTAGTTGCTGTCGTCCCCCCCGCCTCCCAGGATACATGAATACATACACATACAGACACGCACACGAACACCACGGCTTTAAGAGGCAATCAAAGCAGCGCTGGTTGCCAGGTCCTCCCTCCCTTCAGTCCCTCAGCAAGTTTGGTTTACTGACTAGGGACCTACCGTGGGTTTTTTTTCAGTGTATTTACTAAAAATTCATGCAAATCTATTCCAGTGGAGTCTGTATATTCCTGGCTGGAATCTGAAACAACAGCAGCAGAACAAGTTAACAAAACACCGCGATAGAACAGACCGAAGGGAAGAGACGTGGGTCTCACTACACGCATGAGGATGGCGTCCCCACGTCGCTGCCAAGGGAGATTCAGGCTGATTCCCAGCACCGGTGGTGACAGGAGGAGGAAGAAAAGCCCACCTTGTTACAGAACTGCACCGGTCGGGACCCGCAGCACCCAGGCTCAAGGCCAGTTTCTAGCCCAGGCTCTGAATGCAACCTCTAGGTCAAGTTTCCCAGCCTGTAAAATGGGGACTGCATACCCTGTCCCCGTAGGCAGGAGGAGGATCAGGGCGCTGCGTGCAAGGCAGCACGAGGCCCCGTTAGGGAGATGCCGGAGAGAGGGAGATCAGATCCGGTCACGGAAGGAAATCTTGCCCCTAAAGCCAAGCACTCGGAGCACACCCAGAATATTCCCGCTGCTACAGGAGCCCCTGCAAGCGTAGTACACCATACCTTCGTACAACTGCTGTGCCTTTGATCCCACAAGCTTTAACTTCTTTTTTTTTTTTTTGGAGGCCCCATCCCTGGGAACATCCCAGGCCAGGTTGGCCGGGGCTGTGAGCAACCTGGTCTGGTTCAAGGTGTCCCTGCTCCTGCAGGGGGGCTGGGCTGGGTGACCTCTGCGGGTCTCTTCCAACCCCAAACATTCCATGATTCTATGGTAACTGGAAAGCCCCGCTGGCCTTGTTCTTCCCCTCTCCCCACAGGCTTTTTCATCGAGAAGCAATTGCAGAAAATCAGTAAGCGAAAGCGAATCCGCAGCAGTGCAGAGCTGCTGTCCGTACGAGGATTTCAGCTTCAATTTGTTCACCAGATTAAACGTGGATCTTTTAGCCATTTCTATGCCCCAAAATCATACACACAGGATCACACAGCAGAAACTCAGCTCGCCTCCTTGCAACCTCCCATCTTGCCACCTGTGGCAGGTTTTATAAAATCAAATCTAAACTCAAAGCAAAAGTCTACCCGGTGGCTCCTCCCGGGTTCGCATCTGGACACTGAAAAAGCCACCAGGTCACTACAAACCGTGCAGGGAGCCTGCAAGTCCGTTGGGGCACACGCCAACCTAGAGAAACCCTCCCTCCCCACGCGTCGCTCCGGGAAGGATGTTAATGCAAGCAATACATTCCGGTACAGCCACCAGCAGAGATAACTGCTCTGCTTCCAACATCTGGACCGCTGGCCGGCGGAACCCTCAAAGCAGGCAAGACAGGACCCGCCCCGTTCAAACGAGCCCCTGACCTCGAGACAGCATTTTCCTTGGTGCCTTTTCTTTATTCTTGTCTTTTTCTTCTTTCTCAGCCCCATCCTTCGTGGACTTTTCCTCTTCCTTGTCAGAGGGGCAGCTAACGTGCAACTGAATGATGTCCTGGAACAAAACAGACCAGGCTGGTTTGAGTCGCTTGGACACTCCCCGGCATCGCTGCCGTGGCTGCAGATGTGGCAGCTGAGAAGGCAGAACAGAAAGGCAGGGGGGTCAGGTCGGAGATCTGAGCCATTTCCTAAGAGGTCCCATTCTGCGAGCGGACAAAGCCGTCTCTCTCCCCACCCTCCTCCCAACAAGAAGCCTTCGGCAGCGCCGAGGGGACTCCCAACAGCATTTGTCGCTGTTGAAAACCTGCCTTGCCTGGGCCACTTCAGAACCTAAGGCACACGCCTCCCTGTTTGAAGCTGGTAAAATGCTATTTTGGACTCGGGAACGCCCAATGTGAGGTAGGTCCTGCACCGTTTCAGTAAGACCCTACCGTCTTGGCCTGGCAAGAGAAAGGGCATGAGGAGAAAATGGAATACACAGCAAAAAGCTTATGTGGTGCAATGACTGCTCCTTGTGCCGCGTGGAGCTTTCCGATGTTTCTTTTCACCTCCTCTCTTGAGCTGCAACTGCCCAACAGCCTGAGGATTGACTCTGCTCCACGGGAAGAAGTGTTAAACACCAGCAGGACTGCCAAAGGCAGAGCCAGGTGATGCACTGCTCAACTTCAAGTTAAAACTGACGTTACTCATCAGGTAATCGGAAAGGATGATGTAGTGTTTTCTTTTTTTCAGCACAAGGAGGACATGGACCTGTTGGAGCGGGGCCAGAGGAGGGCTACTAAAATGATCCGAGGGGCTACTAAAATGATCCAAGGGCTGGAGCCCCTCTGCTGTGAGGCCAGGCTGGGAGAGTTGGGGGTGTTCAGCCTGGAGAAGAGAAGGCTGCGGGCAGAGCTGAGTGCGGCCGGTCAGGGCTTCAAGGGGGCCC